GTGGTATATATTTGTCAATTTGAAGTGAGCAATACTATACATGTATCATTAAAACAGATCCGCTATCCAATATTATATATCATACAAAACTGTTTTACCTTGTGACTTGGTGTGGTTGTTTGTCTAGTAAATTTGATTTGACATTTTTCGCTGACATGACATTGGAACATCAGGGCGGGACATGCCAGCAGCAGATGCTTACTTTTGACGCGCATCTGGTCTGACTCTCTTGTGGGGGTTCATGATGTTCCGATTCCATCGATTTTGTCAGTATATTTTTCTTGACTACTGATTGTTGAAGAATGACTAATTGGTACTTCTATAATTACTAAAAGTCATCAGGTCTACGAGACGAACAATTCACTAAAATTCTGGATTCGGTTAGCATGGATATATTGCTATCAACTATTTGTATCAACTTAGAATGCAAATATGTGGATTATTTAGTCAATAAAACATACGTATAGACATTCAAACTAAATTCTAGCATAAGTATTTAACCAGATATGTGTACAATTACCATTCAGTAGCCATATTGGACGCCATCTTGAATTTGAAGGTGACTGCAATGATTTTTTTTGAGAACACCAAAGAAATATTGTTTCTCATGCAACTTAGAAGCAAAATAATAAAATGAACATAGTTTGTAGGATGGGTACAATGGAACCTGAGATCCGGGCAAGCTATGGGAATCAGACCTTCGCTTAGACTGGTTCCCAAACAGATGTTGCCCGGTTGTAACAATACCTCATTTACTTGTGTATATATTACTACCATTAACTAAACATGGATAATAATCATTCCCGCTGTGGGTCGACATGACAATGAAGATGGTCATCATCACTGGTGTAACGTCACATAAAAAGTACACACAGTGCGAAAGGACGACATACACGTCATAGCTGTGTAACATTCGCACTATGGGTCATTCACTTGCGTACTGTGGTATCTTCTAGCGGGTATTTATCCAACACTTTTTGTTGTTCATTTTGCCAATATTGTTTTTATCGTCCAAGAAAAACTGCCCAACCAACCAATAACGTTTTATTATTGAAAATATGATTTGACCTACAATTCAATATGTCGGTCAAATACTTTTACTGAGTAAGCCATGCATGATGGTTATTAATCGTATGAAAGCCTCACAGAAGAAAAGTCAAATTGCGTCAAATCATCTTTGAGTAGAATAGTATTTTAGTACTCATTAGCTATGAAGCGCCCTCTGTTGGCCATTGCTTCGAGTCAATATACTGGAAAATGTCAGATAGATAGTATTTGCCGAGTAAATGATCGTATATATTTCTGTAATTTATACTGATCTATGTAACCATGAAATGTTAAACAATATTTAAGGAGAGAGAACAATCTAGTGGCTCTATTGCTTTCAAAGAGATCTTGGCGGCGAATATATATATTGAGGTCTGATATATGGTTAAATAATTAAATAAAAAATCACACGACTAACAATTGTTTGGTCGAAATCTACCTGGCCGTGTCGAGAGTGAATTGTACCAGACATGTTTATTTGATTCTGTATTTAAATTTATAAAAATGCCTAAATTTACCGGTAAGAACATGTTGCCTTACTGGTAAACATGTGTTGTCATTATGTTGCCCGCCCTCAACGTTATTATAGCGTAGATGGGTATAAGCCGAGGTGGAAGCAGTGTCGTTCAAACAGACCACTTTGTTTGACTGTGAAGTCAATATTCGTTATTGATATTATTCAACGAAATAACAATAAATATATTAATTCAATTTAACATAATCTTTCATTTATATAAAATATCATATCAATTGTCTCTTATATATTGACTCCTTACATACATAGATTTATTCACATTCGCTATAGTATAAACTGTTACCAAGGTCTACTCATCATCAACTGGGGAATAACTTCCGTAATTAAAACAATAGCTCCGATAGAAATAAAAGCCCATCAACTAAATATTGCTTGACATCTTTACAATCAAACAAAACAAATAAAACAATCTGCAATTTATCTGAGCATGGAATTATTTTTGTAGACCATTTTGGTATAAATAACCTTCACATTCACTGTTTTGGCTGAACATAGCTGATGTTCAACAAATGAATTACATATATCAATGATTTTATCATATTACTATGAGTTACTACAAGAGTACAGTACAGCCGGAGTATCGACCGACGTGGTGGCAGCCATGTTTGTTTTTATTATTAGAGGACGCTTACACGCGTAATCATTCCATATTTGGAATTCGCATTTCCTAATATGATAGAATGAGAATACCTCGCAAAATACCGCAAAATTACAGCACGCTGTAACTTATGGCGTTACGGTCATAGATGTATAATAAATAACATTATTAACATCTGACACCGACAAAATAACATCTACTCATCAAGTGCCACGGACACGTCCCTTTCTATTGATCACAGTACTGCCTTTGTGCATAACGTTGCGGTGTTCTCGTGATATCCTCATATTGATTATCTACCTGCCATGGTTACTCACACTGTTAACATTGTTCTTCAGACGTGTGATTTGTATAACTATGTAACTATGACGTAATCAAGTAATGAATATTAACACTGTTATCTTATATTTTGTCATTTTCGCCAACATCTTTCACTGCTTTGCGATCTTAACCTATTTGTTCTAAGATATCATCGTCTAGATAATCTTTAAGACAGTCCAAACTGTAGTTCAAAAGGATTTCTTGCTTCTCAACGTTTCTAGAAATAATAATAATATATTAACGATATCGAGATTATTTTGTGATGCGATTGCATTCATCCATTCAGAATTGATTCAGAATATGCACGTGATAACCTCGAAGCTAAATAAGTACTACAAACAGCGTTTTTTTATATCCAATGAGTTTGAAAGGACACTATATTATATTATTGTTATTGGTCAACTGTGTAAGAAAGTACTAGCACAATCATGCATTCGATGCTAATATCAACATTGCGACTGAACAGCTGCCTATAGAATTCATATGAATGAATTTTGCCGAATGTTAACTTCTTTTCAAATTGCCCGAATATAACCATGGAGGTACAAACAGAGTTATATCTCCATGATATAACCAATGTCCAAACTCAATGAACATGAAACATTATAATGGGAACAAAAAACAACAAATACGAATTCTCATTTACTTTCAGTCAGTCTTTCTGACACCGTGTCGTGGTTTGTTACCTGGATAATGAAGATGGTGTTTTTCTCTTGCACTCAGAAATGAATACTCCAGTGACGTCATTGTACTCAGGATTCACTGCCAGGTCTATTGATGTTGCTGCGTGTCAAAATGGCGATTTTTCACTAAAATAAAACCATCAATTTCTCGAAAAAAAAGGCTGGTGACTCATATTACAAAATGACATATGAGATATTAGGAAATACCACATATATCAAATGGTTACTATGTACTTTCGTTCGCTAAATTTTTTTTTACAGCGCTGAAAGGTTGTACCT